AAATGTCTAATTTTTAATTATTTTTTGAAAGATTTTATCAATAATTGCAATTATTGAAAATAATCAGTAATTTTAGTTTGTTTAGCTGTATTAAAATGAAAATTAAGTTTTTTAGTCTTATATTTGTCCAAATGTTCAAACATTTGATCATCGGATGCATTATATCTTGTGATGTATTCATCGGTGTTGTTATTCATTATTTATATATCCAATAAAATTTATCAAAGGCCATTTGTTGCACACAAACTATTGAACAGTTATTTATGTTTAAAAGGACCTAGGAAATCGTTGTTTTTAACGTTTAAGGTAATTTATAATGTTTACAATAATAGAACTAATTATCACTTTTTAAATAAAGGTAAAAAGTTTGATTGAAAGAATTACGGCTAAAAACATTGGTTTCCATTGTTGGAAGTTATTTATTATTAATCATTTTAGGGGATATGAAGTAAGTTACATGGTTTATTTTATTAAACCAAAAATTATAATATAAATTTACATTTACACGTAGATAAATAATAGTGATTTATTTGTAATTTATTAAATTAAATATTTAGCTGTTACTAGTTTTAAACATTTTAAAAATAATTTTAAAAAGTTAAATTTTATAACTACAGTTAGTTTAATATAACTAAATTGTTAATTAAATTCATGTTAATTATCCATAAATAATAAATTACAGTTAAATCTTAATTATAGAAATGTTATATTGTTTGAACATGCATATTTAATATAATTATATTTATAGATTATAGCGATGATAGCAATATTATTCCTGAAAATACATGAATTTACAACCATGATACAATAATATTATTATTTATGCAAATAAATGTGCAATGTTCTTTATAAAATTTTACATTTTTAGCTATATGGGCCTCTATAATGTAATTATTGTGATATACATATAATTTATGTCAAATAAATATTTTAATATTTAATTATAGTTACACAATGTTTGTAATTGTTTATAATTAAAATACAATAATAAAATTTTTGTTAACCTTAATAATTTTATTTAAAAATATTCAATTACTTTAATGGAAATGCTCCTAATGTTCAATACAACATTTGAATAATAATTAGTATTGTTATGAACCAATAGAAATAATGTATTATTACAACAATTATCATTATAATATATGTTTTTATAGAACTTAATAAATAATTATTATATAAAATGACATAGAACAATAATATTAAAGTAATATTAACATGTATATTTAAATAAATCGTCATACTAAAAATAGTTTTGCAATTATTAGGCTAACTAAAATTTATGTCTCACACTGTCGATATATTGCAAGTATTACCCCGACAGTGGGTAATACCCGGTGCCGATGGGCACCTCTACCGCATTGGCCTATCGCAGTATAAGCCAAACTATCCAATTAAGCGCCCTTGGTTCAATCATCCATTAATTTTATTTACATTTCAATTTCTATTCCTTGTAAAAAGTATCAGCTTATTAATTAGTAGCAAGTGGAATTTATCACGGCAAACAAGACTCTACATGGGTGATCTAGAGTATTTTATGAACACTGGCTTTATTGTTAACTCGGTTGTACTAATGTACACATTATGGGTATTAACGTCGATCATGCTCAATTACATCAACCATAAAAACGGTGTTAAACCAAATGATCTAATAGTGTTGCGAATGCTCTCCGGTTTAATTACACCCGACAGTATTGGTATATCCAATGGGAATAGTGTCCGAAAATTGCAGAATATTTCGCAATTATCATTATTTATTGCTAAAATAAGTACTAGGTTAATGTCAGTAATGTCCATCGGGTTATTTCTAATAAGTTGCATGAATAAAGTTACAATTACAAAATGGCTATTAATAGGAGTGCCGCACGCGTTGTATTGGGCCCTTTGGGTACTTTATGTGAATAATGTTATTGTTTACCAATCGGTCTACTATTTTATAATCACTTATTATTTAGAGCTTAAGCTCAAAAATATTAACGATAATATTAAACAGGTATTAAATACAGTCAAACCCCAGTATAAAAAGGCTAGATTCTGGCAAATAATACGTGTTTTAAACTGTATTTACAATGAAATTAGTGAATACAACTCAATTTATTGGTCAAAATTTTTGGGTATATTATGGTTAACCATTGGCTCAATAATCGCAATGATTGCTTATATGGTGTTTTTAGGCAACATGGACATTTTAATTATCAGGACTATGCTTTCTATGTATTTACTTATATACATAATAATGTTGTTATTTATTATTCGCATATCTAATTACATTTACAAAGAGCCTTTTGTAACGTATAAACTATTAAACAGTTATTTATGTTCATTGGAGGGACTCGTTTGGAAATCATTTACTTTAAAACTTAAGGTAAACTTACAATTATATAGTTAATTAAATTATTTTATACAATACTTTTTATAAGGTAAAAAATTTGATCGAACAAATATGCGCTAAAAAAGTTGGGTTTCATTGTTGGAAATTATTTATCATCAACAATTTTAGGGGATATGAAGTAAAGTATATGTTACTTTGTTTTAATTAAAAGTTAATAATAAATGTATTTAAATTATATTTATAGATTATTGCAATGATTATTATGTTATTTCTAAAAATACATGAGATTAAAACCAGAGTACATTGATTATTTTATAAGAAACATATTCAAAAATTAGTTTTACGATGTTATAAATAAATGGTACATGAATTATATTTATTACTTCTCTAAGTTAAATGTATTTTATTTACAAGACCGTTTTTGTTAATAATTAATTTATAATATAAAAATATAATTATATAATTAAATATATCTATATTTCAATTGTTTGCAAATATAAATTACTTTTATTAAAAAATAATATATTCTTATAATTATACTTTTAATAAAACATTTATAATTACTTTATTAATTATTATTATAAATGTTAATTTCTGCCCGTAAAGTACATTAATATATTTTGTTCTTAAACTATTACGTAAAAAACTAATGATAAATTATACAATAGTAATAAATATACAAATTTTGTATTGTAAATGATAAATTAGTTATTTAATTTATTGCTTTAAATAAATACTAATAAGTGATATTAGTAATATTTAAACCAAAATTACTATAATGTCTCAAACTATTGACACATCGCAACTATTACCCCGAAAATGGGTAATACCCGGTGCCGATGAGCACTTGTACCGCATAGGCCTTTCTCACTACAGGCCTCAATACCACAGTAAGCGCCGGTGGTTTTACCACCCGATACTAGTTATTATATTATTGCTATTATATATCGTAAGAAGCATTATGCTATTTAATACCCAAAACTGGGGCTTATCAAATGAAATGCGACTCTACCTTGGTGATTTGGAATATTTTCTAGACACTGGGTTTATTGCCAACTCGTTAGTCGTATTGTGCACACTACTCGCGTTAGCATCGATCATGATAAATTACGTTAACTATAGGAATAACATAAAACCCACTGATTTATTAGTGCTGCGAATGTTGTCCGGTTTGGTCACACCCGACAGTATCGGTATATCCGATGGCAATAGTGTTACGAAATTAATACACATTTCAAAAACATCGTTATTTATCGCAATAATAAGCCCTAGCTTAATGTCAGTGATTACCATCGGACTATTTCTAACTAGCTGCGCGAATAAAGTTACATGTATTCAATGGTTATTAATTGGAGTGCCACACGCGTTGGCGTGGGCCATGTGGGTACTCTACCTGTTTAACTTTATTGTCTATCAATCTGTTTACTATTTTATAATTACTTACTATTTGGAGCTGAAGCTTAAAAATATTAACGCATACATTAAGCGGGTCTTAGATACCAAAAACTCAGTGTATATTAATGTCACTTTATCACGAGTACTACGTATTTTGAACCACGTTTACACCGAAATTAGCGAATATAACGCTATTTATTGGTCAAAATTTTTGGGTGCTTTATGGGTAACTATTAGCTCAATAATCGCCATGATATCATACATGGCATTTTTAGGCACCGTGGCCAATTTAATGATTAGGATTATAGTTGCGCTTTATCTGGTAATGTACTCAATAATGATGTCATTTATTATTTCCATATCAAATCACGTTTATAAAGAGCCATTTGTTACCTACAAACTATTGAACTGTTATTTATTTTCGGGTAAACGTAAATCTTTAGCCCTAAAGTTTAAGGTAATTAATGACTTTATTTATTTATGTTTATTTAAATAATCCACAATTATTTGGATTAGGTGAATAATTTGATTGAGCAAATATGTGATAAAAAAGTTGGATTTCATTGTTGGAAATTATTTATCATCAATAATTTTAGGGGATATGAAGTGAGTGATTTAATTTTGTTAAAAGCATAGTTAATATATTTATATTTATAGATTATCTCAATGATTGTGATATTATTTCTGAAAATACACGAGATTGCAACTAAAAAACATTAATTGCTTTACCACATTAATTGTCAAACATGTTCAATATTACGTAAAATGTATCCGTACTAGTATATGAATAGTTATTTTAATATTTAATGGATTTTATTTATTTATGTATTTTTTAATTTTGACGTATATGATACATAAAATAAGCATACTAAATTATATTGATCAATCAGTTCATTATTTGTGCAGTGGTTTAAAAATTGCAAACCAAATAGATAATTTGTCTAATGTGTTATACAGTATAACTTATACTAATGATATCTTCATTATATTATATAATAATAGTACCATTGAATACACAAATCTGAATAATAAATGACAATAAACATTTTATTTATAAAAAACATAATTGCTACTGATTTTGTAATTTGATATGATCAGTTAACAAGGTAATTATACTACATACTATTTAAAATTAACTTTTAAATTGTTATTTCAACAATGTATGCGAATTTTACAATTTTGATTATGGTATATATTATCATGTTTACTACTTATTTATATGGAAATCCATTTAATATGAGGGTTAAGAGAGGTTTTGGTGTAAAACAAGGTCAAAAGAGACTTTGGCCAAATGGTACCGTTTACTACGTAATCGACGATTCATTAGGTAATGCAACAAAATTTAATTTTTAATATTAACCAGGCAAATAATTTCTAATTAACTATACAGCTAAAAACAAAACTAAAATAATAAATGCAATGTCTGGCATCAGCAAGAAAAATCTTTGCGTTAAATTTAAAGCTAGATCAAATGAACCGGATTATGTTTATATTCACACTGGCGACAAGTATGCATTTTTAAAGTGTTTTTATCGTATTCAATTTTTTAATTAATTTGCTAAATTATTTTAAGGAAAATAATGTTTTTAAAATATAAACTTACTATCTAAATAATCTAAATAAATACAAATAAAATATAATTTATTTCCAATCTAGATGTCAATCAAAAATTGGTCGAATTGGTGGTAAACAAGACCTACAATTAGCCCCCAATTGTTTCATTGGACGAAAAGTAACCCACGAGCTGTTGCACGCGCTGGGTTTTAACCATGAACATTCTCGACCTGACCGAGATGACTACGTGCAGGTTATTATGTCAAACGTCAAACCAGGCACCGAACATAATTTTGAGAAAAAGACCATGTCCATGTACAAAGTGTACACTAAGTTTGATTATACTTCCATTATGCTTTATGGAAAAACATCATTTGGCAAAAATAATGCAACTACTTTAATATCTAAGCAAGCACCTACAAACGATATTAAATACATGAGAATAATGAGCACGCTCGATATATTTACGTTAAAAGCTATGTATAAATGCTAGATTAATTAGAATTTATTTAAAAAGTTACTTTGTTAATTTATAAATTATAAATTGTGAAATTATTTCTGAAAATACACGAGATTACAATTAGGGGACATTAATTAGTAATTAATAATTACTTTACAACTATTATTGTCAAACATATTCAATATTGTGTTAAAAATATCTGTACTAGTATGTTAATAATTATTTAGTAAATAGGTTTCATTTATTTATTTTTTAAATCTGACTTATATAACAAAAGATAAGTAAGCTAAATTATATTGTTCAATCAATTCATTATTTGCCCAGTGGTTTGGAAATAACAAATAGATCATTAGTATAATCATTAAACTACAATGTGTTATACATGGTATTATTTTCACTGTATTATTTAATAATATCAATATTGTATACATAATCTGAAAGATAAAAAACCACAAGGATTTTATTTAACAATGCAAATAATTAATACTAATTATTATTTTCTAATTTAATTAAAATGTTAATTATACTAAAATATTAAAAATACAAAAACAATTAGATTACTTCAAATTTCCAACCATGTATGCGTATTTTACAATTTTAAAAATAGTATATATTGTCACTTTTATCAACAATTTAAATGGACATCCATTTAATATGAGAGTCAAAAGAGGTTTTGGTTTAAAACAAGGTCTAAATAAACTTTGGCCCAATGGCACCCTTACTATGTAATTGACAATTTGTTGGGTACTGTAACAAAATTTAATTATTAATATTAACTAGGCAAATAATTTGTAATTAATTGTACAGCTAGTAAAAAACCTAAAATAATTGATGCAATGTATGGCATTAGCAAGAACAATCCATGCATTAAATTTAAAGCTAGATCAAATGAAGCAGCTTATCTTTATATTCACGCAGATATTAAGTATGTATGTTTAAAATTATAATATAGAATTTATTAATTAAATAGCTTGATTATATAAGAGCAAACATATCTATAAATAAAATAATATTATTCCATGTTGTTTGTAGGCGCATGGTTACAGTATTTATTAAGCTTATTTAAATCATACAAATTATAATTTAACTTATAATAGTAAATTATAAATTATTTTCGATCTAGATGTTACTCATATGTTGGCCGAATTGGCGGTAAACAAGATCTACAATTAGCCTCCAATTGTTTTGGACGAACAATAATCCACGAGCTGTTACACGCGCTGGGTTTTAAACATGAACATTCAAGACCTGACCGAGATGATTACTTGCAGTTCATTTGGGCCAACATCAAACCAGGCAAAGAAAAACCTTTTCAGAAAAATACCATGTCCATATTTAAAGTATACACTAAGTTCGATTATAGTTCCATCATGCTTTATGGGAAGAGAGCATTTAGCAAAAATAATGCAACTACTCTAATATCTAAACAAGCACCTACGAACGATATTAAATACATGAGAATAATGAGCACGCTTGATATATTTACGTTAAAAGCTATGTATAAATGCTAGATTAATTATTATTTATTTAAAAAAAGTTACTTTGTTAATTTATAAATTGTGAAATTATTTCTGAAAATACACGAGATTACAATTAGGAGACATTAATTACTTTACAACTATTACTGTCAAACATATTCAATATTATGTTTAAAATATCTGTACTAGTATGTTAATAATTATTTAGTAAATGGATTTTATTTATTTATTTTTAAAATCTGATTTATATAACAAAAGATAAGTATGCTAAATTATATTGTTCAATCAATTCGTTATTTGCCCAATGGTTTGGAAATAACAAATAGATCATTAGTATAATCATTATTATCATCATTATTTTTACAATGTGTTATACTGGTATTATTTTTATTGTATTATTTAATAATATCACTATTATATACACAAATCTGAAATATAAAAGACAACAAAGAATTTATTTTACAATACAAATAATTAATACTAATTATTATTTTCTAATTTAATATGATTAATTAAAATGTTAATTATACTAAATATTAAAAATAAAAAACAGTTAGATTATATCAATTTTCCAACCATGTATGCGTATTTTACCATTTTGAAAATAGTATATATTGTCACGTTTATTAACAATTTAAATGGACATCCATTTAATATGAGAGTTAAAAGAGGTTTTGGTTTAAAACAAGGTCTAAGCAAGCTTTGGCCAAATGGGACCGTTTACTATGTAATTGACAATTTGTTGGGTATTGTAAATAAATTTAATTACTGATATTAACTAGGTAAATGATTTCTAATTAATTGTTCAGCTAGTAAAAAACCTAAAATAATTGATGCAATGTCTGGAATTAGCAAGAACAATCCATGCGTTAAATTTAAAGCTAGATCAAATGAAGCGGATTATATTTATGTTCACACAGGTGATAAGTATGTATGTTTTAAATTATCATGTTTAATTTATTAATTAAATAGCTTAATTATATAAGAGCAAACATATCTATAAATAAAATAAAAATAATATTATTCCATGTTGTTTGTAGGCGCATGGTTACAATATTTATTAAGCTTATTTAACTCATGCAAAATATAATTTAGCATAAATTATAAATTATTTTCGATCTAGATGTTACTCATATGTTGGCCGAATTGGCGGTAAACAAGACTTACAATTAGCCCCCAATTGTTTTGGACGAACAATAATCCACGAGCTGTTACACGCGCTGGGTTTTAAACATGAACATTCAAGACCTGACCGAGATGATTACTTGCAGGTCATTTGGGCCAACATCAAACCAGGCAAAGAAAAACCTTTTCAGAAAAAGACCATGCCAATGTTTAAAATGTACACTAAGTTTGATTATAGTTCCATCATGCTCTATGGGAAGAAAGCATTTAGCAAAAACAATGCAACTACTTTAATATCTAAGCATGCACCTACAAACGATATTACACGTATGAAAGTAATGAGTCCGTTGGATATTGTTACGTTAAAAGCTATGTATAAATGCTAGATTAATTACAATTTATTTAAAGAAATAACCTTGTTAATTTATTCAATGTATGTAACATAGCCAATTATTATGTATTAATTTATTTTGTTCAAAATAAATATTTATTGATTTAATAAAAATATTCTTTTAAACCACCCCACTGCAATTGCGGTGTTGCCATTCAACATGTTTGAGCAAATTATTATGCGAGTCATCCTGGTACAAATGGCTAGCGATTATTCGCTCCCGTTTTAGCCATTTATTACGTTTATTGTGACAATCAATAGTTAATCGGTATATATAAACCTTGTTGTTATCATTTAAAGCAAAAAATGGCCAAAATGCCCTCGTCCAAATATGCCCATTGATGTTTATTATTGACCATTTTCAAATATAACGTAACTTTATTATGACCAAAATTTATCAGGGCATCTTGCTCAAAACTAACGCTATTAATACCCGGGTTATCTTAAAAATGAACTCTCAATTCCGGTGCTGTTGTGTTGAACACTAATGCATCGTTCAATATTGTTGCGATTGATGTAAGCCATATGTATACTGTTTTCACCCTGGGCAACATTGAAAATGGCCTTGCCCCAATTGATTTAATCGAGTTCCCTTTAAGCGTGATATACTCAATGTACTTTAAATTGGTAAATGCGTGTGCCGGTATTGTAGCTAGATTACAATCGCTAAGGTATACCCATTTTAACATTTGTTGTTTGTTGATCATGGCGAATATTTCTGTGTCATTTGGACCATTATCAATCGCTGGGCAATTGGATATCTCTAATCCGATTAGTGTTTGTCCGTTAAACGCGTCTGAATTAATCCGGGTTAGCGCAAAATCGTTGGCGATTGTAAATACGGTAAATTTATACCCGTGTCAAACGATCCAGCTGGCTTTTCCCCACTTGTTTCCTCCTTTTTGGACAGCAGTAGTTTAAATAAACTTGGCAATAAAAATGTTATTCAAAATGTCACAGACAATTTTTACAACTATTAATACCAGTATATTAATCATATGAATGGCTTATAAACAAACGGCAGTAAGCGATTCATAAATTCACAAATGTGTAATTATTAATATCTATAACTCAAAACATTACTAATATTTAAACATTAATTAATTTATAAATCGCTAACTGCCGTTTGTTTATTAGCTATTTATATTAAATTAATAATGTAATTTTATTATATTTCAATTATTAGGTAATTGTAGATTTTAATATTTAATGTTTATTATAGAAATAAAATCTTTAAAGTTATTATAACTTTATAGTTAATATAATTTAAGCTAAGATTCATTGTTAGTCTTATTGAAATAATCATTATCTAACAAAATTTAAGTAAGTTACCAGTTCTGTCTACACAGAATATACAAATTGTTAAACATATAATATAAATAAATAATTTTAAAAATCTATAATAATGTATTAGATTTATTGATTGTATTTATAAATTTTACATTTATAATAAAATTTAATTATAAAAAATTAAGTTAACAATTAACATCTTTCCATTGTGTCGGGTATTTATTTCTCAACCAATCATTATTAGTGTTCTCGCAGTCAGTGTCCGATATAATAACATTTAACGGATTTTGGTTGACAAAAGACTCAAATATAGATTGTTTAATATATTGAAAGCCATTATCCGTAACGTATAGACTGACGGCTCGCTTAATTGAAACAAATGACTGGTCATAAAACACAGCGTCCGACAAATGATCGGCAGTCAAACGGATTTCCAGGGGTTCATCAGAGGCGATATCGCCTATGGTAAACGCCCTAAACTCTATGGTTTTAATGGGATTCCTATTAATTACCAGCGATTTTAATTCCGGTATATTATTAAACGCATCCTCTTTGATCAATGTTAGTTTTGGATTTTGCTCAATATTAACATTGCGCACATGACTATGCAGCAAACAATTCATCGGTATCGTGGTCAAATTAGTTTGGCGCAGTGTCAGCGTTTTTAAATTAGCCAGTAGCAGTACGATGGCAAAAACATTATAGTCTGAATGAGCATCTACAATCGGGGTGTTAATAATTTCAATTGTTCTTAATCGATTTGTTGCGCCATCTGCAAACAAATTTTTATTTATATTGTTTAATTGTTTGGCGCCCTCTATGCGCACCAATTCAAACGATATGTCTGCGAACGCGTTGGCCGGCAGTGTATTTATGGCCTCATTATTGAGTAGAAAACGGGTTAACCTTTTTTCATTGCCGATTAGTGTCAGTGAAAGTGTATTGAAAATGTCCAACAAATTGAAATGTTGCGTACCGTTGCATATAATACCGCATTTACTATCGCCAATTTGCTCAAAGTAGCATGGTGGTTTTATTTTGGACGCCTCTGGACATACTGCTGCCGAGCTCACCATGCCCGATATCATCATGATAGCTACTGAATGAACTGTAAATATATTTTGTTAATTATTTTAGTTATAAAGACAAATTTTTTACTTACCAATTATATTTATCATTATAAAACTTTAATTTTTACTTTACGATAGAAACGTACAATTAAAAATTAACTTGTGTTTTACTAAAGTTAAGCTAACTATTTATATATTTACTTTACGGTGCTAATCATATAACAAACAGGATTTAGCATATCTTTGTATCGACAGGGGTGAAATCACTTACATTGATAATTTAATTATAAAGGTAACTCTATATGGTAAACAATACATTAATATCTTTGTACTTGATGTGCCATCAATGTTTTAATTAATCCGATGTACTATTAATTTAACAATGTTATAAAAATATAAATTATTTAGCAAGAATCTTTTAATTTTTACAATATGTCAAGTACTGTGTATTATCTTACTTATAATATTTATTGTTAAATGTTTTTCTATAATTTAATAATGGGTTGAAATTTGTTGAGTATAATTCAATAATTGTGCAACATGTTTCCAATTAATGTCCATCATAATTATCTCGTTTTGCATGAACCGATAATAATTGTACTATAATTTCATAGAATATTAGTTAAAGCGTTTAGTAATCAGTGATTATGTTTCATTAAAAAAGTAACCCACAATATACTATACAAGGTTTGATAAATCACACTAATATCACTTGATACAATAAATAGGTATTTTAAAATCAAATATTCAAACAAATGATAGTGTTACATTAAAATGTAGTGCTAAAATATAGGGAAGTAACTTACAATATAATGTTTAAACAATTGCATTGAAAATTACCTAGCTCTAATAATTAAAGACAACTTATATTTAAGAATAACTTGCTTTATATACAATATAATATTGACTTAAAATGTCAAAAATATTTAATTATATTTACTAATGATTTTTCATATATAGGGGTTTCGTTTATATTTCAATAGTATTTAATAACCTTATGTTTAGATGCTTGCCAAATTTTTGTGGTTACAATCAACAAACCCTTGTAAATATTATTTGATACATCTATTATTTAGCTTTAATTCTGTATTTAAGAATTATTAAATTTATTTTAAAAACTATTGATTTAATGCAAAATAAATATGCTGTAAAAATGTTGGATTTCATTGTTGGAAATTATTTATCATCAATAATTTTAGGGGATATGAAGTAAGTGATTTGATTTTGTTAAAAGTAAATTTATTATATTTATATTTATAGATTATCTAGGTGATTGTAATATTATTTCTCAAAATACATGAGATTACAACTAAAAAACTTAATTAATACTTTACAACTTTAATTGTCAAACATGTTCAATATTACGTAAAATGTATCCGTACTAATCTGTACGTAGTTATTTATTTAATGGATTTTATTTATTTATGTATTTTTTAATTCTGACGTATATGACTATAAAAAATAAATATGGTAAATTATATTGATCAATCAATTCATTATTTGTTCAGTGATTTGGAAATTGCAAATCAAATAGATAAATAGTATAATATTGTTATACAGTACAACTTACTGTATACTGATATTATCTTCATTATATTATATAATAATATGACCATTGATTACACAAATCTAAATAATAGACAATGAACAATAAACATTTTATTTATAAAACACACAATTGACACTGATTATTATTTTGTAATTTGATATGATCAGTTAAAATGTTAATTATGCTAAATACTATTTACAATTAATTTTCAAAAATATTTAAAATTATAAAATTTCTAAATTGTTATTAGTTTTAACAATGTATACAACTTTTACCATTTTTACTATAGTATATATTATTATGTTTAATACCTATTTAAGTGGAAATCCAATTAATATGAGGGTGAAACGAGGTTTTGGTGTAAAACAAGGTCATAAGAGACTTTGGCCAAATGGGACCGTTTACTATGTAATCGACGATTCATTAGGTAGTGCAACATATTTTAATTTTTAATATTAACCAGTCAAATAATTTCTAATTAACTATACAGCTAAAAACAAAACTAAAATAATAAATGCGATGTTTGGCATTAGCAAGAAAAATCATTGCGTTAAATTTAAAGCTAGATCAAATGAAACGGATTATGTTTTTATTCACACAGGCGATAAGTATGTATGTTTAAAATTATCATATTCAATTTATTAATTAAATAGCTAAATTATTTTAAGACAAATATCTCTATAAATTGCATAAACGTGTTTTAAAATACAAACCTTCTACCTAAATCCAGGTCATTAGTTGGCACCTGGTCACTATGTTTATTAAACGTAATTTGTCAAGTTATTAATTTTTTAAAATATAAGTACATGTACATTATAAATTATTTCCGATCTAGATGCCAATCAAAAATTGGTCGAATTGGAGGTAAACAAGACCTACAATTAGCGCCCAATTGTTTCATTGGACGAAAAGTAACCCACGGTTTGTTACACGCGCTGGGTTTTAAACATGAACATTCTCGACCTGACCGAGATGATTACGTGCAAGTTATTATGTCAAACGTCAAACCAGGCACCGAACATAATTTTGAGAAAAAGACCATGTCAATGTACAAAGTGTACACTAAGTTTGATTATAGTTCCATCATGCTTTATGGAAAAACATCATTTGGCAAAAATAATGCAACTACTCTAATATCTAAGCATGCACCAACAAACGATATTAAATATATGAGAATAATGAGCCCGCTTGATATATTTACGTTAAAAGCTATGTATAAATGCTAGATTAATTAAAATTTATTGAAAAAGTTATTTTATTAATTTAAACAATATAGTTAATATGACTTATTGTTATGTAATAATTTATATTACTAAAAATAAATATTAATTTTTTAGACAAAAATATTTATAACTACCCTATTGCAATTGGGTTGTTTCCTAAAACTTTAATTATTTTTATAGATTATCTCTTATAGATTGTGAAATTATTTCTGAAAAACACGAGATTACAATTAGGGAACATTAATTACTTCGCAACTATTATTGTCAAACATGTTCAATGTCATATTAAAAGTATCGGTACAGTATGTAAATAGTTATTTATTAAATGGATTTGGTTTAATTATTTTTTAATACATTGTTTGCCCAGTGGTTTGGAAATTACAAATAGATGATTAGTATAATCATTACTACAATGTGTTAATAATATCACTATTGGGTACATAAATCTGAAATATAAAAGACAATTAAGACTTTATTTTATAAAACAAATAATACTAATTAACATTTTCTAATTTAATAGGATTACTGTAATTAAAATGTTAATTATAATCAAATTTTTTAAAATCACTATAATATCACTATAATATTACTTTAATTTTTTTTAACTATGTATTCGTATTTTACTATTTTAAAAATAGTATATATTGTCACGTTTATTAACTATTTAAATGGACATTCATTTAATATGAGAGTCAAAAGAGGTTTTGGTTTAAAACAAGGTCTAAAGAAACTTTGGCCCAATGGGACCGTTTACTATGTAATCGACAATTTGTTGGGTAGTGTCAACAAAATTTAATTACTAATATTAACTAGGCAAATAATTTCTACTTTATTGTACAGCTAGTAGAAAACTTAAAATAATTGATGCAATGTCTGGGATTAGCAAAAACAATCCATGCATTAAATTTAAAGCTAGATCAAATGAAGCGGATTATATTTATGTTCACACAGGTGATAAGTATGTATGTTTTAAATTATCATATTTAATTTATTAATTGAATAGCCAGAATTCCATAAAAATAAGCTTAATCCATGTCATTTGTGAGTACATGGTTACAGTTTTTATTAGGCCTATTTAAATCATTCAAATTATAATTTAATATACATTATTGTTGACCTAGATGTTACTCAATGGTTGGTGGAATTGGCGGTAAACAAGACCTACAATTAGCCCCCAATTGTTTCGGACGAACACTAATCCACGAGTTGTTACACGCGCTGGGTTTTAAACATGAACATTCAAGACCTGACCGAGATAATTATGTGGAGGTCATTTGGGCCAACATCAAACCAGGCAAAGAAAAACCTTTATCAGAAAAAGACCATGCCAATGTTCAAAGTGTACACTAAGTTCGATTATAGTTCCATCATGCTTTATGGGAAGAGAGCATTTAACAAAAATAATGCAACTACTCTAATATCCAAACAGGCACCTACAAACGATATTACACGTATGAAAGTAATGAGTCCGTTGGATATTGTTACGTTAAAAGCTATGTATAAATGCT